GTTAGTGTTTACAAGAAATTCAAAAATATTTTTTACGTCAGTCACATGAAATATATTTTATACCTTTTTATGTAGTATTTGGAGCAAGCTAACTGACAGGAGTACTTGCTAGTAAGTAGATTAAAATAGCATTAAAGATAGGTGTTGTGTATCGGTATTACTGTAAAACTCCTTTAAAACTCTTTATTTTTAGCGAATTTCCCATATAGGGAATAAGGTATTACCATAGTACTCATGGTAAGACCTGGACCTGGGACCCATTTTTTTTCGTTTTGAGGTCCCTAGAGGCCAAAAACACCATCCGATCGAATTCATATATATATATATATATTTATTTATATTATAATAAAAAAATTGACCATGGGAACGGGGGTTGATGGGGGGTTTTATGGGGTAAAAATGGAGTTTTCCCATTTTTGACTCAAAATACATAAAACTTTGCAATTTCTTTCCAAACTAGTTTGTAGAGCTTAAAAAAACAAATAATTTAGTATATTGAAGCGTTATAATGCACCTAATGGTTACTGAGAAAATTCCAAAACATTGTAGGCCTATATTTAAAATTCCCATGTTATTCTTATGGAGAATAAGTAAACTGTTGTAGTTTGCTTGTTTATTAACATATTCTGCCCAAATTTGGAAAATGTTTTTATTTCTTACTAACTATTAACATTTTACATAAAAAAACACTTTTACCCTCCCTGTTGCAGCAAACCTAAGTATGTGTTAAACTGATTCTATTTAAATAAGGAATGTGATATTTTTAAGGAGACATTTTAGTGTAAATCCAATCAGGCAAATGGAAATTCGCTTAGTCTGCAGGTTTGCTGCGGCGGGGGGTATTTAATAACCTCATGCAATATTTATTCTCTGAATATATTTTAAAAATCTACAAAAGTTATTTATCATTTCTAATTAAGGATTTACAAAAATGAATCAACTAATCACTCTGAAACAGATCTACGTGGATAAAACATGACCTAAAGTTTGATGTTTGACTTTCACGTCTAATTTTGATTTTTGTAAGTTCTAGTTTGATGAAGATGAAGGTTAAAATTTTTATTGTATGTCAGGGCCGCGTTAAGGGTCAGTGGCGCCCTGGGCAAACCCAAAAGCAGCGCCCCCCTTATATATATATAAAACTAAGGTTTTGACCACAGTAGTGTAGGAAGTGGAAGAGGGAAGAGGGGTTGACTCATCAGTTCGCCGAAATTCACAGCAGGTGCGGTTGGGGTGAGTTCAATGAATGCCTCTTGCCCTGCGCCAATAGCTTAATGCACTACGCAATGATTTGATTACTGTTCGGTACAGTAAAGTGTGCAGTTCATTGCATTACACACGTATTGAACAAGATTCTACTAAGGGAGTATGTTTTTTCCATGGTTCTACTATAGGCATATGCATATATAGGTATATATTTATACATTAGCGTGTTTTTTTACCAGTTTTGTTTCGGGTGGGAGTTTTCAATTCCGTATCGGTGGAAATACTGGTTAACTTTCTTTAAAACTGCTTCTTGAGCTTGTTTTCTTTGAGCCAACCGCTTGCGGCTCCCGATTCCACTAGGTTTTTTTATGCATGTTTCACTGTTTATAGGCCTACTTGTATCAACACTTCTCTATTTATTTATTACTGGTTCACTAACTGCAGTGTGAGTTTCAACACTGACTAGTGACTGTCACAGTTTAGGTTGTGTTGTGACTGATTTGACGACTGTGCAGCAGGCACAACACGAACACAACACAACCTACTGACTACCGAGGGAGGAGTAGCCTATTGTACTGACTGACTGGACTGTCGCCACGCGGTAGTTGGTAGTTGTGACTTGTGGGGATGGGGGTGGGACTGCGAGGGAGAGGGGGGCACGTCAACCTTAGGCCTGTAGACTACAGCTGGCCTACGTGCTATTCCCGTAATTTGCTGACGTCACCCAAATTGCAAACAAAAATCAGCTAATGTATTGCCCAGGGACATATTTCCGAATAGGCGGACTAGGCACCCGTCTAGGGCGGCAAATTTTAGGGGTGGCAAAATTTTGAGGGTAAAAAAATAAAAAAACAAAGTTTTAATCTAAAAAAAATTTTAGCAAATAATTTTGGGAACGGCAAAATTGCCATTTCAAATATTTTGATTAAGTATACAACTATTTCAGAACGCATCCAAGTCAAACAAACGTCAATAGTTTATTACACAGCTGTGTAGAGTTGTCCGTGCTGCCCTATTGGTCTGGCGGACACGCTCGCCGCGGGAGCGGGTCGCCGTGCCGGCCGCTATGTCTAGTGACAAACGTAGAAAACACTCCCTTCTGTTTACTTCATACACCACTACGCAGTGGCAGCACTATAGCTGAAAGATTCTTTTGCTAGGTTAAAATCAAGAAGGAAAGTGTGAACTAAATACTTACTACTGTACCAAACTTAACTAATTTAAAATTGTATATTATTCTTTCAGTAAAAGTATGTAATTTTTCTTTGCGATTCATGTGTTTTTGTTAGAAAAAAATAGTTTAAGAAAACATATTTCTTTCATTTCAAATCAAAGCCAATAGCACGTCTCTCAAGTGGATCTGACTAATAGTGTTCAATGAAAAGCGTTATAAGAACCATTGTATACAGACGATTTTGTGTGCCGTTTAAAGCCCCAAAATGGGATTGTAAAAATACTGATTAGATAAAAAAAATGGTGCATTCCGTGTAGGCCTATCCAAGTCAGAATGTTTTGAAAAAAAACGGCACAAAAAACGTCCGTTAAAAGGGGTCGAAATAGTATATTTCGTACCTAGGGCCGAAAATGAGGTTACATTATTGCTCTGTAGATGAATATAGAAGGCAAAGTTAAAATGTTGTTCTCCCGGAAGACTCCTCTGCATGAATGGAGTGGTGGTAAGCAACTGAGGATATGTACTGCCCTTTTTTGTACGGTAAAGACCTTATCACCATGGGAAGAACCACCCCAGACTTCAATACCATAAGTCATGACTGAGAAAAAACAACCATAGTAGACTGCAACTAACATTTCCCAGTCAAGAAGAGGTTGCAACGTCCTAAGTGCATGGCAGATGTTTTTCTTTTGATAACTCATCTACAGACCAAGACCTTTCTTTGGACACCTCTACCAAATTTCTACGCCCAGCCGTTCTCTGAAATTAATGGGGACAAAGTCTCCAATTAAATATTTAGATTCCCCCATGTTAATCTTATGGGAGAAACTACAACTTTGATGGCCTGTGGGGCAAAGCCCGAGGATTTTTATTACAGGATTTTGTGAAAGGGGGCGTCTACACGAAAAATAATTTACTTTGACACGTCGTTTGTAAAAATCCATCCATTATTAACAGAGGAGTAGTGTTTCGTAGAAATCGCCTTCACGTATTATATATAAGGATTGCCCCAAAATATGTCTGGATTTCCTATAATCGTGTCCGATGGTCTCCGCGAATACAGCAGTTCCGTAACCATTATTTACGATCACGGTAAAATCCGCAAAAATTTCTCTTGGTTGCGGCAACACATGTGATCAAGTCTTCTGATCGCGGCAATATTCGTTTATCTTCCAAGCAACTATGTGAACCTCTTTATTTTACACAACCACGGCGATTGGGACAATACCACATGCAGGTTTTGCCGCGATCGTCTCCAGCGATTTGTTCAAATCCTGTGACTATTTCCCGGGATCGCGGCAATGCCAGAATTGCAGTAACATTGTAAAGCCCCGGGTACGATACGAGTGGCGAGCGGCATGAGTGCGCTCTGACATCGGGTCTCATTTAGTTGCTTGTATATTTGTTGAGGGTGGCCATGATACGTCTAAACGGCGAGCGGCGGTAAGCGGCACCGCTCAGTGCCGTTCATGGTTCCAAGTCAAAACCGATTTTCGCGAAAATGGCGCTCGCAGCTCAGGTGAGTCATGCTTCAGTTCGGCCTAAAATGACAGGGAAACAGCAGCAAACATGTGATACGGGTTTATACGTGAGGTGCAGTCCAGGGAATGTTTGTGGAATGACCAGCACGGAAGTGTTAAAACACTTCAGTCACCAGAAAAGTATAGGAGCAAGTTAGGGTTGAGGTTTTTAAAAACTAAGTTCTTTAAAAACTAAGGTAAGCACAGTTTGCCATTTTTGACTAAACTGACTCCTACAACCAAGGAAATTTTATGAGCGTTTTAAATGTGCCGCTTGTATCGTAGCCACCACCGCGGCTTATGTGTGCCGCTCAGGTTGCTGCTCGCCGCTCCTATCGTACCCGAGGCAAGTGTCCTACACGATCGTGGCAACATCCACCATCATCTCAATACTAGTGACAATTTTTGCAATCGCGGCCATTATCTGGGATTACATTTCAATGGCGGTAAAATTTGTGATTTCCCGCGATCGCGGCAACGGCTATCATGATTTTTTTGCGATCGCGGCAATTTCTGCTATTCGTAATAGTTTCCCACAATCATAATTTTCAACTAACCCAAAACGAGAGAGGTCCTTCAGTTAGCACCTAATTAATTTTTGAACTTGAAGAAAAACTACGGTGCGAGGGAGGGCCTGGGGGCCCCAGGCGCTTGCCTCGTCCGCCCCTACGTACGTTCGGCCCTGATTTTAAATGGCCGCCATTTTGAAATTTGATGAGCCTGATCAAAGATATTTTCGGAGAATGTTTATACCTGTAGATTTAAAGTGTATACCAAGCTGTATAAAAATATCTTCTAGGGCTTTTGAGATATTAATAATTTAAAAGTAAAGCAACGCAAACAGCAAAAGTTACAATTGTTTGGTTATTGAATTATATGTATCAAGGAAAGATTGAAGCAGGCCTTAAGAACATAAACATTTAGAATTTGGAGTAGTGCCGTAGCATTATTGAAAAAAATAATAATAGTAAAAATGTTGTTTGGTAGAACTAAACTATTTTCATTCTGTTCAGAATTAACAAAATATGATTTTCCAATAGGTATCACAAAGGAATAAGTTCAGAATTATTTTCTATGTACAACAGTAAACAATTACTTACCGTTACTCATTTTTTGGCTTCTCGTAGTATTTTTCAGTTGGATCTGTGAATCTCGGCATTAAATAAGGATCGAAATCAGGTTCGTGGACAATTCTGAAAACAAGGAAAAATTAAACCGTTTGAAAATCTTGAAATTTATATTCAAACATTGAAAACTTTCAAAATGCAATTTTAACAATTTTTTAGTAAGCACACAAAACTAAAATGTATTGTTTTGGCACCATCATAACAAATTGAAAAAAAGTACAACTCAATAAAAATACCAAAAGATAGTATGTCCCACTTAAAACGTTGAATGTAGGGGTAACAAAGAGGTATGGACTGAGTGCCATTTTAAATCTATAGTAGTGAGCAGTGTGAGAAAACAAAGAAAAGTATAGTCTAGTGCAGCCACTAAAATTACATGTTCTTCCTGAGTACAATCTGGATTCTTAATTTTCTAAGGCAAGCTAACAAAGGTCCCGGGTTCAAATCCCATCAAATCACCAATGGATTTTATTCATGTGATAATGCCGCAACCCCTAGGTCTAGCCTGAAGTAATGAGAAAAACAATTCCGGGCTCGTGCCTAGCATGCTAGGGCAAAAAAAGACTTTCCTTTTAAACTATAAATTCATTTCAATAAATCTTTTTTGAGAAAAACTTAAAAAAAAACCTCTTGTCAAACACTAATAGAAAATCTCCTAACTAACTGTGTTGAACAACTCTGTAAAATATAGATTTCTAATGCATTCTGAATATAGAAAGAAATTTATACGTCTCGGCTGATTCTGATGTGGGACTTTTGTTCGGTAATTTGCTATTGGTAGAACATTCAAATTCTTCATTGGGTGAAACATTCGGCTGTCCATACCTTGATTCACTATCCATACGCGTTTCGGTCCTATCCTCCTCTCTCGGATCATGAGAGGATGGTCTTGTGCTGCCACTTCCTTCATCATTGCATCTTGGGCTCTGACCTTCTGAAACACACATTAGAAGTTATTTGGAGTTATTAGGATTCAAAAGAAAATCTTAAATGTAAGCATATGTTGATATGCACATCAAAATAAAGATAATTGTTAGTAAAATACAATGCCACAAACCCAACAGGAGAATTGATCAAAAATAGCAGCCGTTCAAACATAACACGCTTAGGAATTTGCTATGCAATGATACACTACCTCGTCAGAGGGCTCCCACTAGAGCATAGAATAAAATGATAAATGCAAGCATTGTACTATAGAAGAGTATTCATTTTGTTATGGTTGCCAGATGAATCAACCAATGATTCAAGACGATAAAGTTCATGGACCTGACCCAATGAAGATAGTGAAAACACCATCCCTGGAGGACCTCTTCATCGTTCTCAGCGTGAAAGAAGACCTCCTAGGAAACTTGATCTTTAAATAAAAGTTAATAAGTTCCCTCCAATAAGATTTAGTAATTTATGTTTCATGGAGAAGCTGAAGCGAACGAAGTCCTAAAACAGGTTCAGTCCAGTAGAGTTTCAGCTCTCACAGAAACTTCACAAGAGGTTTTACAATTTGTTCTAGTTTTGAGATGATATTAATTTGTTTTCCTTTATTAGTATACATAATTTACAAGAACAAAATAAATATATTAAGAAGGCCATGAAGAAGAAGTGGAGAATAGGCAAACAGAATTGGGACACAGTCTAGTAAATTCTACCAGTAAGTAAGCATTAACATTTATATACCGTGTTTTCCAAGTCTTCATAAGTATTTTTAGGCTCATATATTTGCCTTTATTTTATCTGGCAACGAGTATAAACTCAGTTATTTTACTTTATGCGTGTGTTATGGTTTTTTAATCAGTTAAACAAGACAAATTAAATTTTATTAGGCCTTGAGGAGTTTGGTCCAAACAGGCAAAGCGAAGGACTTGCAGGGAAATTCTGGTCGGCAAATACCATATATTTGCATTTATTTTAATAAGCACAGGTTGTTAAACACATCAAATTAAAGGTTTTTATTAGAAGAATAGAATGTCGCAAATTTGAGCTCAAAAGAACAACTAGCATAAGTAAAAAATAGCAACCGTTCAATGATTCAAAATTTCTGATTCAAGAAATCTTTGAACATGTGCCATTTTTTACTAAGTTTGTTTACTCAAATTTGTGGTGTTTGATTTTAATAAAAAATACCTCTAATTTGATGTGCAGGATTTTCTTCTGACTTCATACGGACCACCCCCCTGAAGAGGTAGCGCATCACTTAGTAATATTTTAAAATGGATGTGACGAAGTCTATTAGCTCTATCTGTATTATTTTTTTAAATATTTAACTGTTCTGGGACTTTTATTCCACCCGGTATATTTAGGTATAGACAGCAAATGTATACAAATCATGAATAGTGTTTCTTGAGACAACCCAAGAGGTTTTGTGTTTTAGTACTTAAAAAGGCTGGTTGAAATGAACTAAAACATGATTTACCTGTGGATGTTGAAGGCTGACAATCACTTCTTTGTTGAGCATTTTGGGGTATCTCACCCTGAAACTATTAAAACAATCTACTCAGTTAAAATATTCAAAAAGTAAGTCTCTAATTTTCTATAGTTTAGCTAAGAATGTAAATTATATGTATTGTACTAGTTTTTAAGTTCATTGTAAACCTTGACTATTTCGTCTGTTTACCCAGCTATACTGGCTTAATGTAAATGTTTAGGTGAAATAAAAAATTGGCTATTGACTAGAAATTAAAAAATAAACCTAAGGTACTCAAATGGAATGTACCTAATGGATAATTTTTTTATCACAATTTTAATAACATTAACATTCACTTCAAATATGCAATAAACAAGACATTACTGTACTAATAAAAAATATATATAAAATATATATTTAAAATAATAAATAAAAATAAAAAATATATATAAAATATATATTTAAAATAATAAATAAAAATAAAAAATATAAATTTAAATTAAAAATATATTTAAATATATATAAACATATATATACTCACCTTGTCTTTAAATATTCGGTATATTATTTTAAGAAACCTCTCCATTTTGTGTAATTGATTCAAGGACAAATGTATCCTGAAAGGAAAAAAATGATATAAATACATTTGCTTATTTTGTAACTAAAAGTAAATGATAATGTCCATGTTTGGCTGGAGAATCAGTCCCCCTACAGTATAACCTATAAGGAGGTGGTAAGATATTTCAGAATGGCTCAAATATCTTACCACCTTGGATTTAGTTCTGAGATGGAAGATTTTGGACATAACATGCATTTAAGTAGGTAACTTTTAAGTTAAATAGTATGTAAAATTATTTTACTTTATTGTCAAAACTGCTCAATTTTGGATGCTGTAAAGACGCCTTTTAAACCTTAAACCCTGTAGTAGCTAAATAAAGTACACTAGTTAATAATCATTGATTCGTTACTTAGTCTTATTATGGGCGAGCTGCAAAAGCAAAACATTGTGCACAATCAACAGGTCACTAAGGCAAATAACTAGGGGTCTGCAATACATAAAAAAGGTGGAATAGTACAATACATGGCCTAATTACCGCTATCGGTTCGGTACAGTATTTTACTCAGTACAGATTCAGTTTTGCACAACCTACAATGATTAATTAGGCCTACTTTACTTCAAAAAGTAAAACTAATGAGACAAACCATATTGCACAATGGATTTACGTAGTTTTGACACTAAGCAGATACAATGTAAGCAACAGTTGATGAAATGGTCTATCAAAGGAATGTTATATTTTACATTTACATATTATATATGTATTATATTTTATATTACATTTACATAGTATTATGAATGTTGATTCATTATATTTCCTTGTTCCCTTTTTGTTATTTTGGTTTAAACCTTTTGAATAAAAACCTCGCCGCAATTGGCGACATCTATTTAAAGGTTTTCAGCAGCAAACGTATTAAGGAGAGGGCACGCAAATAGGAATAGTCATGTTGCAGTGAAGCCAGCTTCAGCAGAACACTAGAGGGGCACGCAGAGCCGTAGAGTGGCAAAAAGCCGCAGCTATAACAAGGGAGAGATAGGGAAAATGTGACGTGCGCTGTTTCAAATTAAAATTGCCGCTAAACTAAAACACCTGTGTTATTCACCGATGGTATTCTTAAAGTAATTTAAATTTCCTATCGAATGGTGTCAATCATTTCTATAAAAACCATTATTTATTATTGAAGATCAAAGTTGAAAGAATTGGCCTGGACTTTGAACATATCATTACTTTAATTGTGTTTTTGAAACAAATATGATGTATCTGTACAAATTAACAATTTATTCGTGTTTCTTAAGAGTTTCTTAAAATAACAAATATATTTTTACCTATATAAAAAGTAGCATTTAGAAAAATAATTACAATCATTTAATTTTTTTTTCCGGTTTATAAAACATTCTTACTATTTATAGGTTAAAATGAGGAATTTAATTCGTTTGGTGAAATACATTTTAAATTTGCATTTTTCATAGTTATCTCGATTTGTTAATACCATCTTTTACTAGTTTTAAGGCATTTATGTACTAGGCAGGTGATTTTAAATAGCCAAAGTTAAGAAAAAATGCAAAGCCGCTCTAACTTTTTTTACACCAACAATTATATTACAAACATAAAAAGTAAAACAATTTCTTGGCAATCAAATTCTTGATTTTAGCGAATTTCCCTATTGGGAAGTAGCTATTACCGTAGCTGGCACGGCAAGACCTAGACCCGGGACCGATTTACTTTTTCATTTTGATGTCCCCAGAGGCCAAAAACACCATTCGTTCAAATTGTTATATATGTGTATATACAGGGTGTCCCGGAACTCTTTACCAATATTTTAGGGCATTGCTCCTGGGTAAGAAACATACCTAAATGTCATATTTAAATTGTCCGGAAGTCCTTAGTTACTCACACAGCCGCCATTTTGTTTTTTTCAGTTATTAATTTTTTTCCAAAGAATGGTTAAACATACGAAATGGAAACTTTGCACAAACATTATAGACAACTAGACAAAGCTACAAAAAATTATGACGATTTTTCAAATTCATAAAACAAAATGGCGGCCATTAAAAATTTTTATAAAATCAACGATTTTTGAGTTAATTAAGAAACAAAATTACTTACAAAATACTTATTTATACTATCACCGTAACAGTTTGCATATAAATATATAAAAACACGTGACAGAAGTTAAATGTAAACCTCTTCTTAGAGAAGGTATATTTGTATATGCCATGTGAAGCTTAAATTAACAATTTACTGGAGACAATTCATATTAACAGACAATAGGAAAATTTAACTTGGCAAAAAGAAGCATCCTGCATCAAGAAAGATAAACAAAGGAAAGCTCAGTCACAAAATTATTTTACTATTCAAGAGTACTTACTCATTATTGAGTATAAGGTAAATTCTGAGGAGCCGATTTCGAGGCCGAATGCGTCGTTCGTTTTCACCATTGCGACTCAATATGCACCTGACGATGTTGCGCATGAACGGGAGGTAGCATTGAAGCTCTCTTATCTTATTCCTCCTCCTCCTTTCTTGATCATTCTCTGTACACAAATGTTAATTATCAATGTAAATTAGTCAATAATTTATTTAGTATTAATATCTTAGGCTACCATCTTGATGTAGACAAATTTGTATAATTGGTTTAACCGTGGGAAATAAATAAAGGTTTACTTTTGTTAATACTACTTTATTTTTGTTAATATAGTCTATCCTGTTGTTATTGTTATATCTTGTTCTTGTACAGAGTTTATCATATTGTTATTTTTCTGTAAGTTGTATCTGTTTTTCATGAAGTTTGTTCTGCCTCTTCACTCGGCTACTGCATTGCATCATTGTTAATGTTCCTATACTGGTTTTGTTCTTCGAATCTCTCGTTTTGTCAACTTGTTCAGATAGTTTGTTATTTATAGTTGTTACTTACAGTTTGTTATTCATAGTTTGTTATTTATAGTTTGTTATTTATAGTTGTTATTTATCTTTTTATGTCTTGTTATTGAAGTATTGTTTTCCAGTTTTTTTTCACTACTTTTGTACTGGCCTGTGATTTTTTCTGCTTCTTCTGTATGTAAGATTATTGTATTTTTTATGTAAAAATAGTGCAACCATTAACAAATAAATAAATAAATAAATATCATGAAGAAGACCCATTAATAGCCAACTTAACCATGATGATTGTGACCTACTTAGTGTACCTACAATAGTGGCCCTAATGACTTCTAATATTCTAAGAAGTACATTTTTAACATTTTTGTATTATAATATCAAATTATTCTACACTATATAAAATGTAAATGTGTACCTATCTACAGATGTGAATAAAGATATTTTTATTTGAACGTGAGTGTGTGTGAGGTTTAGCTTGACTTAGGTGTATAGTCTTATATTTAACAATGATGTAAAAGTAACTCTGCATGAATCATAAAATATACACACATAAAAGTGTTTCTATGGCAGTTTCATGCAAACTTTTAACATATAAAAATGTTGTGTACCTAATTTAAATTAACAAGAGGCTCAAAAATATGTAGCTGAAAATCCCGATTTTGCCGTTTGTACCGTTGAAACCAATTACCTACCATTTTAGTCTGTAATTATGTTTTACAATCTTGTTAAAGAATATGTATAAATGTGTATGTGTATGTGATCAACTTAAGAAAGCCACCATTGGGATATCTGAAATGATAAGAATTAGAACAAATTTTAAATGGGGAACATTGCTTTATTTTTTGAAGCAGTTAAAAATGTGGATTCAGTTGTTTAAAATTCAGCCGCCATTTTCCAATATGGTGGCCAACTTTGAAATTTCTTATGGAACATCCTTTATTTTATCATGTTTTCAGATATTAGATACAGTTTAAAAACGTTTTAATCCTTGACATTTTTCTCTAAAACTACTCGTTTAGGAGCTACAGCAAAAAAAAATTACTTCCGGTGTACATTTTGCATCATGTAGATCCTAAACGAGTAGGTTTAGAGCAATGGTCTTTTAGGAATGTAGATGCAATTTTAAGAGTTACTATTACTTCACATTCTTGCTCTAAACTTGCTTGTTTAGGAGCTACATGATGCCAAATGTACACCATTTAAAGTAATTTTTTCTTAGGCTGTAACTCTTAAACTTTGGAGAAATAAATGCCAAGAATAGAAATATTTTTAAATTGCATTTTCTATCTGAAAAAATTATAAAGTAAGGTGTTAAGAAAATTTCAAAGTTGACCGCTATATTGGAAAATAGCGGCTGAATTTTGAAAACTAAATTAATACTTTTTTCTGCACGAAAAATAAAGGAATGTCCCCCATTTAAAGTTTTCTCTAATTCTTACCGTTTCCGATATCCTAATGGTGGCCTCGCTTGAGATGATCACCCTGTATATGAACTGAACGTAGATTCTTGTCATTTGCAATGGGCAATTACAGTAAACACATGACGTGAAAATTAAACTAAACAAATATACAAGAAACAACATGAATATTGAGTCCCAAATCAATCTGTTAGTTGCTCCTTAACTTGTATGTAATAGAGCATACAGTATGGTTGTTGAAACAAATGCTGTAAACAGTGTTCAGTCTGTTTAAACGAATACAAATGATTATTTGGTTGATCAATTTTAGCAAATTTCCCTACACGGAAGGAGCTATTACTGTAAGTGGCACTAAATCATTGATACGCATTATATAAAAGTACCCCTGCCGCAGCAAACCTGCAGAAAAATATAGGACATTTGTATAGTTATGTAGACTTAACTTTTGGTACTCTTATGTAGGGAGGTCCTTTCAGTAAAAAGTGTTTATATATCCCTCCGAGTGTCCATAGTTTAGGCCTTAATGTCCGCCAATTTTTGGCGCATTTGCAAGGTTTTATTAAAACGGATCTGGGAAGCTTAAAACAATGTTAATTCTACTGTTCTATATACCATTTTGTTTGGAAAATCATGGGCTTCAATATTATATATAAAACATAAGGAACATTTGTTTCAAAAAAAAATTTTTAGGTAAAAAAAAAATATTTTGGAAAAAAAAAAAAAATAAATAAGTTCGCGCTCAATGAAATTGTATAAATTAGGCTATAGGCCTATAAATATTTGAAAATAGCCACTTTGTTCTAAATTTTATGAGGATTACAAATATATAATAATATAAGGAAGTAGATTTGCAAATAAATAAGTTATGGGCAAAAAACAGATTTCAGTACATAGCGTTTAGCTAAGAATGCATAGCCTAACCATAGCTAGGAATCTGGCTGATAATTTACATCAATATCACTACCTACTTCTTCAGGATCATCAACCAGCCCTTCAAAATCACTTAAATCTTCTTATAATGCACCACGTATATCACTACTTTTGATTTTTAACACTAAAACAATGATAAACGTAATAAAACACATCAGTCATCGGTCCGAGATTAACCAAGCTGTTTAAAAATACGCTTGTCAGCTGTCTGCTACAATATTTTCGGAACTAAAAAGAATAGCGCTTAGAGATAGACCTCCGGAGAAAGCTCTGAATCTAACAAAAAGAACGATACCTAACTCGATCCAGTTCAATCCGATTCAGTCAGTCATAGAGCCTTCGCCGTAAACGATGTTCGTGTGTCGAAAAATCTACAAGTGACACTACACAAAGTGTGTCGTGAGTTGATTTTTCGACAAGTGACGCTCGGAGGGATATGTATAGTACATTTAGAACATACTGAGGCTTGTATTTTAATTTGTACTGAACATCATTAAATTAATATGAATAATATAATCTGTGAATTAAATCAAGTGTGTCGCATTTCTTATTAATAACCTCCATAATTTGTTAGTAACTACATAAAATTCCACCTAATTTCAAATATCATAAGTTACTAACTTGAAAAAAAATTGAATTAACTTACCATTTGGTGCCATTTGTGTTTGTCCTTACTGTATCCCTTTTTCAGCAATAAAAGTCTTGTGGGGTGCCTGAAAAATAGTTTTCCAGTTTGCGGTCACATATTTTAAAAATACCAAGAATAAGTGAGCCAGGTTGATGACGCATAGGCTCGATATCCTTCGTGATCATAATCGACTACTTGATTGCCTACTCATAGTTAACAATTTTATCACTACCCTGGGTGCAAGGCGTAGCTTTGGAAGAACAAAGTTGGTTACAAAACTCAAAACTACATCTTAGAATACAGAAGGTGCTAGAGAAAAGCGATAACCAATTTTATCGTCCCAGTAGGCAATCATGCCTATATGAAATAGTATGTTTATATTATTACAATTTTTTTATTTTTTACCCTCAGATGTGGAGTTGCCAAAGCCAGCGGCATAGAACTATGAAGTCGAAGGATGGAACCATGCAATGAATAGCCTTCTTGGTAGATCACCACCGAAAATAAGAGTTTTGCTTGAATTTTATACATATCTATTAGAATTAGTTTTTAGACATATATATTCCTATAAGAGATTTTTTTGTATATTTAATAATTTTACGCAAAATGTAAAATGTGTACACGTGATTTATATAAATGTAACTTTTCTTGTCTTGTAACCAACTTGTATTATATAGCCTACTTCACTATTGTTGGAATAAACGTCATCTATATAGGCATGTGAGTGGCTCGATTTTGATTGGGGGGGAGCCTCCCCCCAGAATTTGGGAAAGAGAAAATTTGGGAATTTCCTTACCACGAGTTGGGACAGTTGGGAAATCAGAGATAGGCCTACAAGAAAATATATAAAAAAAAAATACTGTAAAGTTTGAATATCGCACAAATCCATAAAAAATTTATAAAAATTACTTATTTACAAATTACTGTACTATTTCCGCCAATGTGTGGATAAGTCATCTGGTGTTGTTTGGTTCATAATGAAACAAAGAAAGTCCTGCAAACATATGATAACCCAACCTAACATAACTGCTGAAGCGCACTGTATAAGGGTAGCCTCTGGATACTTCCAAAGTACCTAACAATTTTAGGATTTATTACATAAGATTGATGACGTTAACCTATTTATATTGTTAGTTATTGCCTTAAAAAGTTGTCTTAACCCAGAATCTTTTTGATTTCCTCTGCATCGCCAAAATCAAACAGGCAGACGCAGCAAGAAACACATCCTGCTCAGTGCTTACTTGACATTGTTGTGGGAACTGGCGTGGATGTTGAAGAAGCAAAAGTTACAAGTCATAACAAAATGTTAATAACATTTGTTCATAGGCCTAACATTTGTAAGTAACTTTTGTTAAGTTATTTAATTAACATAACTTAAAAAGTTGATAGCCTAACATTTTGTTAATAACTCTGGTGTAAATGAGCCTTTATCCTAAATAACAACTTATGTTATTTTTATGCTGCAACATGAAAGGTGAGTCTAAATCTAGGCTAGGCCTAGTTGCAGCTAAGTTTGGCCTAGCAATTGCGATGGAAGTTTGGTAGGCCTAAGTTATAGGGGCTGATATTC